GGGAGAAGCAGGCTTCCCACTGAGCAGGGAGCCCGAAGCGGGGCTCGATCCCAGGACCCTGGGATCATGACCTGAGCCGAAGGCAGACGCCTAACGACTGAGCCACCCAGGCACCCCTCCCCCCCAATCTGTTCTTCAATATGGCTGGTTTCCACTGACCATGCTACTTACTTACTCCCTCTTCTAAAATCTGGGTAACCTCTTAACGCAAAGTAAACAAATAGAATAGACATTCTTACTGTATAAGTTTTAATTGTGGCGTTTACGTTAAATTAGGCTAACACTAATTATTTGATTCTGCTTTGGACAACATACAATTTCTAGAGCTTAAAGCTTAAAAAGATGCTTATGATATTCTTAATTACAATATTCATAATATTCCCTTTAGTTTGTCCATATGGTTATGGCTTGGATACTGAAAACCATTCCTAATTGTCATCTAGGTTCTTCAAAAAGCAGAGCTTGAGACCAAAATCTACGAGTAGCTGTTTTTTAGGAGTGCAAATCCAAGGAAGCAAGAGGGAAAAAGGGAGTGAGATGAGAAAGGACGGAGAGCCTAGACCAGGGTGAAATACCAAATTGGCCACCACTTGGTATGAAGCATAACTGATCATCTGACTTCCAGGGTACTCTCTTCTGAGAGATGGGATGGACTAGTACACGACGGTGCAGTTCATACAGGGGAGAAAGGAAGAATTGATCTGTTACCACAATGGGGTGTTAATTCCGGGCTGCATATGAGTAGGCTCCAAATGGAGCCTGTGGTCTGTTGTGCTTCACTCAGAGTGCATGGTGAAGTCCTAGAGAAGAGCGTGGCCGAGGTATGGGGAGCACAAGAGGCGCTGTGTTGGTTTGTGTTTGCTGAAACCCTTGAGGAGCTGTTTGCCACAGTGGTAGCTGGGCCAGAATTCAGAACAGTGCTGCATAAGAAGAATACTCTAATTCTTTAGTTCAGAAAAGTGCAGATTAGCCTTGGTGTGCCCTTTAGAAAACAGGATATTTGCCTATCTCCCATTTATTCTCATGTTCTATTACAACGTGAAGCAGTAAGAAAAACTATTCCCTATAATAAAGTTAGAGCATAGAACTAGATCATGTTCAAAGTGAAAGAGGCTTCTAAGTAAGTCCATCCAATTCTGTCAAAGATATGAAAATTGAGGCTCTGGACAGATTCTTTAGACTGGACTTGTTTTTATGTAACCCAAAGTACTTCGTGAAATAGGAGGGGTAGGTCCAGCTCACTGTTTCACAGATGTGATCCTAAGATTCACGAAATTAAATGTCTGGCCCAAGATAGCCCAGTGAGCCAGCAATAAAACCATTAGAAGCCTGGTCTTGATTTCCTCAACCACTTTTACCCAGATGGTTTCTTCCACTGAAAAGTCTCTGCCCAGGCCTAGAAGGTTTGCTGAGTTGCCCAGTGCCATACCTACCCCCACAGGGCGATGTTTAGATGTTCAGAGAGAAAAAGGGTTCAATGCCGTACAGTTTCAGAAGGGCAAAAAAGAACATCAGAAATAGGATCTATATGTTGGCTAACTGAACATTAAATAAATAAATAAATAAACAAACTACATTAAAAAAAAAATAGGATCATTCCAAGAGGAAATTTTTTTTGACGTTTGTGTCTTTTTGTGCTAGTAAAAAAAAATCTTTCTCTTTTTAACATTAAAATTATTCACAGGTCTCACCAATTCCCATTTTTAATTGTAATAGTCTGAAGAAAATGAAGACTAATACACTACCATCACAAAAACTTTGTATTAAAGTATCATTACTTTTTTTAAATTTTAAAATAAAAATACCTTAATTTTTCTATTAGTTTTAATATTTTTAGTAAAGTTCTCAAAGTTTACTTGGTAACATTGGAAATGATTTAGCCTTTTGGAAATAACGTTGAGAAAACAGGATTTATATACTCTTATGGTGTAATCAGTGACAGGCTGAACCTATTAAAAAATTAAGTCATTTTTTAATTTAAAAAAGTTTTACTTAATTGCTTAAATTAAAAAAATAACATTAAAATTAAAATAATCCTACATATAGTTACACAGGATGGTATGGCTTGAAAAAGTCTCTTGTAATTTTGAAAAGATGAACATGATATATCTATGATGTTCCGAGAATATGAAATTTTAACAACTAGAGACTTCTAATTCTTGGTAAAATCAGAAGAATTAAAAGATCTCAATATGTGCATATTCATTTTAGTCAACCACTTTTATGGAATGAATGCTTGTGAGAGACTGGGTGTGAGTTGACCTGGTTCCAAGGGATCTAGAAGCTGAGGTACTTTCAGGATGAATTGTCCGGGGATATTTTGCTGCAGCAGCTTGAGGAATGGTTTGCTGAAAAGGTAAAAATATGCTTTAACAATCCCATAAAATTACACCTATTAAATACCATTTCATTATATATAATTTAACCAAACAAATATCTGTTAAGCATCCAGTAGATACATGCAGTAAGCTGGTGAAGCAGCCATTAAAACAAATAAGATGTGGTCCTTAATCCGTAAGTTAGACTGATGTGCTCAATACCCACAATTCAATATCAGAGCTATATTCCAGAGGATCACAAAAAAAGCCATGGAAGTCATTCCTCAAAGAGGACTCCAGTGGAATCTTGTAATGTTTACAGAGGCCAACTACAGAAAGGGACTTTATGGTGTTTGGGAGAAGGGTCAGCCTCAAGCCCTCCCTCCCTTCACTCCAATCAATTTTCTCCTCCCTGTATCTGTTAACATATGGAGTTCAGTCTCAGGGAACATGGGGAAAGCTCTGAGGAATCCTGCCTGGTCCTTGCTTCAAACCGAGTAAAGCACATCTCTCGTATTTCAACCTGGTTCACCTGGGAGCTGACTAAACCTTTTATGATTATATAAGAGGAGATATTTCCAGAAGCCTGGTGCTCCTTACTGTGGACTACAACTTTCTATACAAATAGACGCTGAAGACAAATCTCGAGAGGAGGATACCCATACCATCTCAGAGCTCAGGGGAACATCTTGGACCCAAGCACCAAAGCATGAGAGTCAGTGTGCAACTGACTTCACTTCATCTATACAGGTAGATACTACATGCATTCGTATGTGTAAAATGTACAAGTACAAGGATTTCCTATATTATACTGGATACAGCTTCTCTGTAGGCAGCAGTGGGACTTGTTATCCAGATCTCAGTCCACGTCACTGAGTAGTACATGTACATTCCTAGTAGGGTTGTCCACTTAGAAAAGTCATCTTTAAAATGCTTGAAGTAAAATTATATATTTGATCAAAACATTCACTGTGTATTTTAAAAACCCTTAAAAAAATGAATGAAAACTCTTACAACAAAGGTCTTCATGACAGATACTGCTTTAAGAGTTCCTCTTTAAAGAAATGGAAAAATAATTTCCTGTCTTAAAACTATTTTACATAAATGTTTCATTGTACATAGACAACTGGATAACCATTACAGATGGGGGAGATTCTTCCAACTAGTATGAAAATTTAGTTGCTAACCACCTAATCTGACCCTGTTAAAAGAGCTATTTCTCCTTGGGGAGGATGGGCAAGAGGAAATGCAGAAACAGATTCACCTTACCACTGGTTTCATGATCTACAGAAATATGGCAGAAAATGAAGTAGCACTAGGAACAAGAAATTATCCAGCAGATGGGGCTAAAGTGTCAGAAATCTGACTACTGGTTTATTAGTAGTAACTGTTTCTGGTAGTTACAGGTCTTAATTTTGGGGATAAAATGAAAAGTAGTACAGAGGACTGCCACAGCGTCTGTTATATAATCCCAATTAGGTAATCATGAAGCAGTTTCTGGCTGTCTCATTCACGACCAATTACTAGAGAAGTACAAGAAGTACTATACATACTGAATTAGCAAAGGGCAGCTGGGGAGGTAAATCTCAGAAACAGGGGTTTTAAGTCTTTATTTCCTGGTGTTGTTGTTTTTTTTCCTTTAGAATATGAATTCCTATCATTAATACAAAAACAAAAGGTGGCCTAAATTAAGATTAAGCATATATGTGATCTCTTTATGCCTTCTTTATCTTACAAATGGACAGTCCCTCTCCCTCTCTATACACATATGTGCTGATAAAAATAGAAATGAGTTCATTTCTTATTTCTGATAACTAATCTTGCATATTCAAACATATATTGAGAAGTCACTTAAGGGCTTTCAGAGTCTTTGCAACCTCTGAAGGCAGATACTCCTCCACCCTCGCAACCTCTGAAGGCTGATACTCCTCCACCCTCCATACCCTCCATCTAGACTTGGTGCCTCTGTGTCAGTCTCCACTTCACTGTGGTCATTCTTTACCTGAGGCTAAATTTAAACACTCCAGCTCCTCTTAATCATCTAGCAATCATCTAGTGCCAGAAAGAAAAGGATGTAAAATCATTTCACATATATTTTTGCTAATATTTTGACATATTAAGTAGACAGGAGTGTTGTCTAACACTGAAAATTTATATAGGGGGCATTCTCTTTTAAAGTCAATTCTTGTTTCTCTTTAGGGATGTGATCTTGTGACTTTAAAGTTAAAACTTTTTGAGACAATTGTTGATTCATAAGCAATGTTAAGAAATAATAGAGGTATCCCATGTACCTTTCTCTAGTAATTTTTATTAAGTTAAATCTGCTTGTGGTTTTACAGTTTATAAAGTGCTTTTTTTTTTTTTTTTTTTTTAGTATATCTCATACAATTTTCACATTATCTCATTTAATCCTGAATCCAGAAAATAACCCTAGGAGCTAAGTACTCTTTACACTCCCATTTTACACAAGAGGAAACGGAAGCTCAAATATTTTACTTGATTTGTGTATGATCACAAAGGCTTAAGTAAGTAGCAAAACTGAGGCACTAACTCAGGCTTTTTTGTTTATTTTTGCTTAAATTCCAGGCATTTTCTTTTATATCATGTGAATTTACTGCAACCTGAATTTTTTTCCAAACTACAAATATGCTGACAGTTGTATTGAAAAAAGGGGAAGAAGACTTAAAAAAAAAAAAAAAAGGCAAAAATTAAAGACTATAAAAATAGGGAGGTGCTTCTTATAATCAAATACCTGCTACATGAACAGCAGGTAATGAGTAAACAGCTTTTGTCTCTTCTTTTTAAATTAATGAGAAATCATTTATATATTTCTTTTGGTCACCAACATAGTGGATTACTTTTTGTGTTGATAATTATTACACTGTTGAGAAGAAACAATGTTTCTGAAATTAATTTCCTAAAAGAGGAAAGGTAGATTTAGAACAGGTTTGATAATTACAAGTATACAAAGTATCATAATAAAAGGTAGAACAAGTAAGAGTCATCATGAATTTTCATCTTCTCCTCAACATGTAGCTTAAGTGTTTATTAGTCTATAAACTCTCAGGAAAAACATTTTTTGACAAAGGTCATCAAATATGTACTCACCACTGTGACTGGATGATGTTTTTCCACAACAACTGAGCTCATGGGAGGAGAAACTCCCATTATAGCTAAGCTGCTACTAATTCTGTTTTTTGAGGCAAAATCACATCTCCCTGTGATCCGGGCTGTAATTGTTCTTCCAGCTTTCTGTTGTGCAGATGTCACAACTCTGGGCACATACTAAAAAAAAACACAAATATCCAACTGGTAGAAATTCCATGGCAAAATATATAGTACTTTTGTTTCTGTAACTTCTGAGGGAAATACATAGGCACTTAAAAAATAATTGTATATGAACCAACTTTAAGATGGAAAAAATAAACTTAAAACAATGAGACAAAAAGCAGAACATAGAACCAAGCACCCCAAAACATCCCTTTAACCTTGGGTGTACCCACCATTTTATAGGATTTTGTAAACTTTTAAAAAAGCTCTTTATTCTGAAATAAATACAGATTCATAGGAAGTTGCAAAGATAGTATAGAGAGGTCCTGTGTATTCCTCACCTGGTTTCCTGCTGTGATTACATCTTACATAAGTATAGTATAATTATGATGTCAAAGCCAAGAAGCTGCCATGGGTATAATGCCTTGGTATTATAGATCCATGTCATTCTTTTTTTGGTGCTGATTAGCAGTTTATTTTTTTAACTTTATTATGTTATGTTAGTCACCATACAGTACATCATTAGTTTTTGATTGATTGCGTATAACACCCAGTGCTCCATTCAATACGTGCCCTCTTTTTTTTTTTTTTAAAGATTTTATTTATTTATTTGATAGAGAGAGACACAGCGAGAGAGAGAACACAAGGAGGGGGAGTGGGAGAGGGAGAAGCAGGCTCCCCCCCAAGCAGGGAGCCCGATGTGGGGCTCGATCGCAGGACCCTGGGATCACGACCTGAGCCGAAGGCAGACGCTGAACGACTGAGCCACCAAGGCGCCCCCAATACGTGCCCTCTTTAATACCCATCACCAGGCTAACCCATCCCCCCACCCCTCTCCCCTCTGGAATCCTCAGTTTGTTCCTCAGAGTCCATAGTCTCTCATGGTTCGCCTCCCCCTCCGATTTCCTCCCCTTCATTCTTCCCCTCCTGCTATCTTCTTTTTTTTTTTTTTTAACATATAATGTATTATTTGTTTAAGAGGTACAGGTCTGTGATTCATCAGTCTTGACCCGTGTCATTTTTATCACATGTCTAGATTCCTGTAACTATTACTGTAATCAAGACACAGAACTATTCTCGCACCACAGTCTCCCTCTTGTGACCCTTTAGAATCATATCTGTTTCCCTTCCTCAACCACCCTTGGCAACCATTATTCTGTTTTATGAACGCTTTGATCCTTATGTATAATTAATTTTACACATATGCTTCTCATTAGACATACGCTTTTGTGTTCTTTTTTATTGCTTTGTTAATATACTTCTTCTCATGAATACAGAGACCTGCTATAATTTTTAATGAGAGGTTTTAATAACCAACAAACTAAAGTTTATCTAACTCAGTTTTTTTCCTACTTTAATAGGAAACAAATTTTTGTACATGAGGATTCCCCTTTTCTTTTTTCTATAGAATATTTTGCAAAAATGAGATGATCATATCAAAAGGTAATGCCAGCTTTTACAGCTTTTGTTACTTACTGCTGGATGATACTCCAGAAAGATTATATTTCTATCAGGAATAACATATATATTTGATTTAATTTGTGGTTCCTTATTAATTTTTCTTTTTTTTTTTTAAGGTTTTATTTATTTATTTGACAAAGAGAGAGAGACAGTGAGAGAGGGAACACAAGCAGCGGGAGTGGGAGCAGGAGAAGCAGGCTCCCTGCCGAGCAGAGAGCCCGATGCGAGGCTTGATCCCAGGACCCTGGGATCGTGACCTGAGCTGAAGTCAGACGCTTAACGACTGAGCCACCCAGGAGCCCCCTTATTAATTTTTCATATTTGCAGTTCATTTTGTCAACTATCCATGTTCTTTAATTACTTGCCAGGAATGGGTATTGCTCTCAAAAATGTTTAATTGCTCCTGATACAGATACTTATCTAATAGTATTTTCCCTATTTCATTTTATCTCAGTTTTATTTTTCAATGCACATAAATTTTAAAAATTATAGCTTATTTTATCATTAATTTCTTCCATAATTGAATCAAGCAGCCTGCTTTGGACAGCTGTGGTAATTATACTCTTCTAACATTTACTTATTTGGGTTTAACTTACTAAAACATTTGAAATTTCAGTGTGAATTATGAATCTAAATTAATTTTCCCTCTAACGAAAGTTTTTCCAAAAGCATTATTAAATAGTGATCTTTCCTCATTGTTCTAGTCCATCTGAGGTTTCATTCATTGAAGTTCTTTACATATCTGCATCTAGCTACAGATGGTCACAGCTGTATATTGAAATAGGATAGTGGATTCCATGAGAAATGTCTCTGGGAAAATTAAAATGATAGAATATTGATGTGTCGGGAGGACTCTAGGAAAATAGCACTCACTGAGGTTTTGTAAATCCTTGGAGAGTTTGGATTTGAGACTTAATTACAGTTGCACAAAAAATCAAGCAAAGACAAAAATGAAGGAATCAATTCCAGGAACAAAAAATTGTACTAGAAAGGAAATGGAGGCATAGTATACATTTGTAGCTTAGCTATATTTACATAGTCATCATAAATTTTAACTTAATGAAAAGCTGGAATATCTGTATCTAAATATATAAAGTGGAGGAGCGCCTGGGTGACTCAGTCGGTTCAGCATCCGACTTTTGATTTTGGCTCAGGTTATGATCTCAGGGTTGTGAGATCGAGCCCCATGTCCGGCTTTGTGCTGAGCGTGGAGCCTGCTGAAGATTCTCTATCTCCCTCTGCCCCTCCCCCTGCTCACACACTCTCTTTCTCTCTCTCAAATACATACATACATACATACATACCTACATACAGTGGATGAGGGAGGGGAAGGGAAGAAATAAGGTGGTATAAAAAGGCCAAATTCTTTCATCCATAATAAAAAGTCAACAGATAATGTCTGAAACTGATGCATGTGGAAATGATGATATGAGCATATTATTTAGGGAGAAAAAGGTAAATAGGAGAAACAGCTAACAGAATTTAGGGAGAGATGTTTAGACAACTGTTTCTCACTATAATACTGTAGAAACTATTTGGCTATTTAAACTAAGTTTTTGGGGCGCCTGGGTGGCTCAGTCGTTAAGCATCTGCCTTCGGCTCAGGTCATGCTCCCAGGGTCCTGGGATCGAGCCCCGCATCGGGCTCCCTGCT